CCCACATCCGCGCGAAATAAGGCGAAAAATCGTTTTCTATCCGTTTTCCATGTTTGAATAGCCATTCAACGCAGAAAAATGTGCTGATTTCAATGGTGAAAAATTATCAAAATCCGTCTGATACATTTTTTAAAAATCGCATTTTATCGAAAAAATCGCACTTTTACAAGCAACTCGCTCGCAGTGACCAACTTTCGGCGGCTCGTTTTCAGCGTGGTCGAAAGATTGCGCCCTCAAAACCGATAACTTTTGTGTGGACCTTTATAAAGATCATTTTGATACCAAAAAAATAAAAATCGATCAACTCTGCGAAGACTTGATGCCTTTTTAAGTTGAAAATGACGTTTTGCGACTTTCTGCCCGCTAAAACGTGGGCAATCGCCAACAAACTATTTAAAGCAGCCAGACATTTATATTACTCTATTTGAATTTGTCCTTTTTCCCAGAGGCTTTTAACTTATATTTAACTTATCTCTATTTAAATTGTTGATAAACAAACTCTTAGTAAGCTTTTTAATAGGTTCGGTATATTTCTTGTTCACAAAGAGACAAAGCCAGACAGCCAGACATTTATATTACTCTATTTACGTGTCAAAAAGCATGAAGTAGAAAAGCCGCGCTTGTTTCCTTTCATTCATTTCCTTATTCTTTTCTTTTGGCTTTTCTCGTCGTGTTTTTTCGTCATGTGTCTGCAAATTTTGGATTAATGCTTAAGGGAAGTTTTTTTTTTAAATAGATTGCTTTGTTTGGACGAATTTTAGCCATCACCACCACATCAAAGCAACGAAAAGAGCAAGATGTTCCAAGCGATGACAAATCACAGGTTTAATTGGGTCTTTGAAGCGTTTCTTTCAACATTTTTTTGCATTTCGATACCAAAATTTATGCGAGATTAACAAATTGAATAAATATAACGCTGATAAACTTTCTGAAATAAGAAACGAATTAATCAAAAAGCTAAAAAAATGACTGCTGGTAGTTGGTTAACCGTCTCTTTGTGAACAAGAAATATACCGAACCTATTAAAAAGCTTACTAAGAGTTTGTTTATCAACAATTTAAATAGAGATAAGTTAAATATAAGTTAAAAGCCTCTGGGAAAAAGGACAAATTCAAATAGAGTAATATAAATGTCTGGCTGCTTTAAATAGGTTGTTGGCGATTGCCCACGTTTTAGCGGGCAGAAAGACGCAAAACGTCATTTTCAACTTAAAAAGGCATCAAGTCTTCGCAGAGTTGATAGATTTTTATTTTTTTGGTATCAAAATGATCTTTATAAAGGTCCACACAAAAGTTATCGGGTTTGAGGGCGCAATCTTTCGACCACGCTGAAAACGAGCCGCCGAAAGTTGGTCACTGCGAGCGAGTTGCTTGTAAAAGTGCGATTTTTTCGATAAAACCCGATTTTTAAAAAATGTATCAGACGGATTTTGATAATTTTTTTACCATTGAAATCAGCACATTTTTCTGCGTTGAATGGCTATTCAAACATGGAAAACGGATAGAGAACACCATTTCGCGCGGATGTGCCCCCCCGGATACTCCACAAGTACCAAAAAAAGTTATTTGATGCCTTGATGCCCAAAGGAAAAGCTTGTTTTTAACACGTTGACGACAATGGCGTTTTTGCACAAACAATCGCATGGGACAACGTTGTTTTTTTTCGACAAAAAATGTCACCTGACATCAGGTGTTAATACGTTGACGACAATGGCGTTTTTGCACAAACAATGTCCCAGGCGAACGAATATGTGTCAGACAGCATCAGGTGACAATGTCGTCAACGTGTTAAACAAAACAAAAAACCTTCTCAAATTCTTCGTTTTCATTCAATTTCAATTTCAATTTTTTGTACTATCATTTCTCATAATCTCAATAATATTTCTCAATAATGCCCAAAAATTTGACTGATTACAGTGGCTTTCAAAAAAACCCTTTCCTTTTAACGAAATCAAAACACAAAATCAAGTGGAAAAAAAAAACCTGTAAAGTTAGTCGTCTAAACAATGTGAAAAAACCCTTCAAAAACCCACATATTTCTTCAGTCTCATCTTTATGCTCTCTTGTGTATTCATCAACTCTCGACCGAAAAACCTGCAAAAGAAAAAAAAGCTTTTGCTTAGATAGATTTCATTGCTTTTAACATAAAAGAAAAATCGTTACTCAATCTTTAATTCACTTAAACTCTACCACATTAACTCTCGACCGAATAGTCTGTAGAGAAGCCTAAATGGGGTTAGAAGAATGATAGATTGAAGAGCTTATTGTCTAAAGTTGAAATCTTTGTCTAAATTCGACTAAAGTTGTCTAAAGTTTTCTGTTTAAAGTTCTCTAAAGTTCTCTAAAGTTGTCTAAAGTTGTCTAAAGTTGTCTAAAGTTGTCTAAAGTTGTCTAAAGCTATCTAAAGTTGAAGAGCTGTTGTCTAAAGTTGTCTAAAGTTATCTAAAGTTGTCTAAAGCTATCTAAAGTTATCTAAAGTTGTCTAAAGTTGTCTAAAGTTCTCTAAAGTTGAAGAGCTGGTATAAATTAAGGAATAGAAGGATTGAAAATTCGTTTTTGAATCGTTACCATTGAATAAACGAGTTTCGATTCATGCGAATGTTGAGTAAAAATTGGCGAACCCGTTTCGAGATTGGACGACCGGCATTTCCCTGAACATTCCCATTAGGGATTAGCTCAATTAATCTTAATTCTTTTGTACTTCTGTTTTAAAAACCTATTCACCAATTGACCCACGATTTCCTTTATCATAAAGATCAATTGTTTTTCTACAAAAGATCATTGAAAGATTACGAAAATATTCTGTCTCTGGTTTTTCAAGTTTAGTGGAAGTTTGGTGGTCAAACTCGAAGAAGCGATCTAGGCATGGAAATCTATGTTTGTGCCAATAGAAAAATGATAGAGCACAAAGAGTTAGGCTAATCTGTTCAGCCGATTTCTTTATAGAACTTTTCATCGAATTTGTTTGCGTAAAAACTAGCTTTTGGACTTGAATTTGCTTGAAAATAGACGGAAATCGGCTTGAAAATGATAGAAAAGTGAATGCTAAACGTTTTCTATTAGGTTGGCAAAAAAGAAATGAGCGTCGTGTTTGTTGATTTGTATTTTATTCACCGTAAAAGATTTTTTAAATAGTTTATTCTATTGGAAAGAGCGTGTTCTTGCGCATCGTTTGATATATAATTTGTTTATGTTTACTTTGTTTTTTTTGCAAGAAAGAGTGTTTAGAAAATGTCGGACCAAAAATTTAGTTTGCGGGCCTGCTTGTGAATGCGTATGAATTTAAGCAAGGCAAATCGGCTGCTGAAGCTCATGGCGCTCTATCTCAAGTGTTTGACGAAGATGCTCTATCCGAAAGTCAGTGTAAACGATGGTTTCAGACGGCGACGAAAGCTTGGAAGACCAAAAACACGGGAGTCGACCTCAAATTATCGACGACGACGCATTGAAGGAAGCCATTGAGTCGGATCCACCCCAAACCACTCGCGACCTGGCAGAACAGTTCGACTGCACTCATGTCACCATTGAGAACCATCTGCATGGCATGGGCAAGACGAATAGATGCGGAAAATGGGTACCGCATAAGCTATCCGAGGCAAACAAGGCGACACGCATCGCAATCGCCGGAATTCTCACTCACCGCGCCAAGAACAGTGGGTTTTTCGACTCCATTGTTATGTCGGATGAGAAGTGGATCCAATACGGCAACACAGCAAGAAAGCGGCAGTGGTTGGACCCCGGTGAAGCTCCAAAACCGGACATCCACGGAAAAAAGGTGATGCTTTGTGTTTGGTGGAACAGTAAAGGCTTGGTGTACTTTGAGGCTCTGGATTCGGGTCAAACAGTTACGGCGAACCTCTACCAAGGCCAATTTGACCGCGTGGACCAGGCGCTGCGGCGTCAAGGCGTGGATACGGCGTCGACAAAATTCCTCCACGACAACGCTCGGCCGCATGTCGCAAAAATCACCCAGCAGAAAATTGAAGAAATGGGCTGGGAAGTTCTGCCTCATCCGCCATACAGCCCAGATTTGGCGCCTTCCGACTACCATCTGTTCCGATCAATGCACCACTTCTTGGCCGAGAAAAAGTTCAAGAACCGTGACGAGGTCCAAATTTGGGTGTCCAACTTCTTCGAGTCGCAGCCGTTCGAGTTCTTCAAGAAGGGCACCCATTCTCTGCGTGAACGTTGGCGACAAGTCATTGATGCAGATGGCGAATACCTTTTGGATTAATGTATTGTTATCTTGTTTTTATAATAAAATAAACTTTTAACGAAAACGCGCATTTCTTTTTTGCCAACCTAA